AAAAGATAGTAATACATAGTTGTTGATATTACAAAAATAAATGTGACTAACTTTAATACATTACCTTTTATGAATTCTTCTAAACATAACTAAAATTCATCAGGTGCCAGAGCTTGTGACACTTCAAAATTTATTAAAAGTGGTTTTAAATTTAATAAATGGATTTCTTGAACAAGAAATGTATTTTTCATGGCATAAGTGGAAGTCCAAATAAAAGTCAGACCATTTAATAATTAGCAAATATATGCTGCATGTGTATAAGGCCCAAGTATGTCTTCTGAATTCTTGTCAAACCATGCAATATTCTGATATATAGGACATAGGGATGTCCTATACAGAAGGAAGAACCATTACCAAAGAAACAAAAAAGCAGCTGAATCCAAGTCAAGAAAGTAACATGAATAGATATGTCAGACAAATTTCTCACCAGTTTTAACAAAATAAAAGAGGGATAATGCATTTTGTTACTATAGCATCACAATAAAAATAGTACTAACTTAAACGCCATTGGTTTGCTAGTTTGGTTTACCTTATAGGATGTAGCCTAGTATATTAGTGGGCTTCCTTCACTAAGCAGAGGATGGACAATTATACCTACCTAAATCAGATATTTGCTACTAAAAGATTATTATCACAATGTAAAGATGAAATCTACAGGGACTAAATCAACAGAAACACATTTAATGTAATATGATTTGCAGAAAACCAACATTGTAAAATCTTTCATAGCATGAAGGGCTAAAGATCATAGACCACAAAATTCCAAAGTTAAAAAAAACATTTTATTTTACAAATAAAAGTCATCAATTAGGCTTTCAACTCTGCTAACCTTGTTCAATCATACACTGTATTTCTAAGAATGAGAATTCCTGAAATGTTTCATACCTCATTTAATTGGTATGTGAATACAAGGGGGAGGGGGAGAGAGAGAGCCAGAAATCATTAATGCTTAAATGCTAAGCAACTGTTGCTTGTTGAGTCCCATTCAGATTGGTCTTTGCCTCTTATGTTAAAAGGACTCTGTATTTCAAAGCCAGCCTTCTCAGAACAATTATTATGAATAAGAAAATAGCAAGATGCAAAAATAGTGGGAGCTCCATTAAGGTATACTACATAAAAAAATACTTGAGTTTAAAGAAAACATGGTAATACATTCAGCACTTGACTAATTCAGTTTTATAAATTACTGGGTAGGATTTATATCAGCACACTAAAGCAGAAGTTTACATGCAGCTTTTTAAATGTATTTCTACAGTCACAAGACAAAAAATATTGGGAAAGCAACTCTGCTTTCCCAATATTTTTTTTTATCTTGTGACTAAAATAAGCAGAGGAACGGAGATGGAGGAGGAGGAGGAGGAGGAGGAGGAGGAGGAGGAGGAGGAGGAGGAGGAGGAGGAAGAGGAGACTTGGCTTATTTTTGAACCAGATTTAATTGATTCAGTGGCTAATATACACTTTCCTTTTGTCTTCATTGCTTAAGATATAGTAAGGCGTCCACAGCAAATCACCCTTTTCAAACTATAAGAAGGTAATAACAAACTAAGACAGTATTTACCCACTTAAAAAAAAAAGAATGTAAGTATATAATTGCTTATCTTTTCAGATAAATGTGTAACTTTTGTTTATGGCAGTACCATAATTTGCAAAAATATAATAAGAAGGCAATGGAATTCAAATCTGAAAAAAAAATTAAAGGAAATCGACAACATCTATATATTTATGAGATGTAACAAATCCAAATATATAGATCTAGCATCTATATTTTTTATGGAATCTAGCTATTTTTGGAGTCATGGTGGACTACCTGATGAAAGTGCCAACCCAGTGTGCAACTCACTATGTAGTATGCAGTATACTACAGGCTTGTAGCTTAATAGGCTTGTAGCTTGAATCATTAAGAATGGAACTGAAAATAGAACACTCCATATAATAATAACTTTATATAAATCTATGGTGAGACCACATTTTAACCATTATGAGGTTTAAAAATGATCTCACATATCTAGAAAAAAGTTATAAAAGACAGTTGGAAGATCTCCCCACTTGTCCCAGAAAGAAAGCTTACTGTAATTGGAGCTCTTTGCATTAAAAGAAAGAAGAGATTTGATAGAGATATATAATATTGCTAAGTGGTTAAAAAAAAGTATTTTTCACTTTTTCACAGTGTTCAAACTTGTCTGCTGAAAATAACTACAGAGTGATTTGTGACCTACAGAAAGAAATACTTTCTTGCACAATGCAAAGTTAAAAGTGGAATCCACTGCTAGCAATTGTGGTAGGAACAGACAAGAGGGGTGGTGTTAAAAATGACAGGAAATAATTTAGTAAATTGACCAGATACTAACACCTTTTGAATCTTTTATGTAATGTTTGCTGGGAAATTACTGGAGACAAGAATCATCATTCTCTACACTACTGGTATCTGCAAGTTTCCCAGAACTGTGAATCTACTCTTATTTTGGCCATGAAAGCTAGCTGGGTAAGTTTGGGCCAGTCATTTTCTCTAAGTCCAATTCACCTCACAGGGTTGTTGTCTAGAAAAAAGGAGCAGGAATGGGTATTAGATATTTTCTGCCTTAATTTATTTATAAGTCTAATAAAGGCAAGATTAAAAAAACTAAGAACAAATGCATTATGGACATGATGAGAAACAGAGCTGAACTAGAAGAACGTACCACTTAATTTCACATTGTTCTTATTATGTTGTGAATGCAAAAACCCACCTATTTCTCTTTCCTTCAATTATCTTCCCCTTTCCAATTTATCTAGTTTTTCCTCCCAGGAACTGAGGGATTTCTCTTCCCACTGAAGAGATATCATGAAAGCTAGCTTGATATAATTTTTCAAATGGCTGCTACCGTATTGAACAGCCCTTTGGAAAGCCCATATCATCTATGTCTAGTTGTACCTGCTAATCACTATTTAAAACCTTCCAAGAGAGCTTCCAAAAAGTAAAGCCAATAAAGGAAGTTGGATTCATTTAACAGACAGATGAGTCACTTAACAACCCTGGCAAAAAAGATTGCAAAATAGGGCACAACTCACTTAATAATCCCATAACTTAATGATGAAACTTCTGGCTCCAATTGTGATTGTAACTCAAGAACTATCTATATACTATACATCTCATATTTGATGTAAACTTCATCAGAAATTAATTTTCACATCATTGAGCTGAATCATGCAAACTTAATTCAAATAATTTTTAAACAGGTCTTGGATGTTTAGATGGCAGAAAAGATCATTAGTAGTTCATTCCCTTCTATCCAGGATATCGCATATAAGCGATGCTTGAGCAGAGTTCACAGTATTGTCTGGGATTCTACACATCATCTTCATGGCCTATTTTCCTTGTTACTTTCTGGGAGAAGGCTTTGTGATATCTGAAGCAGAATTCTAGATTCAGTCACAGTTTTGTTCCATAAAGCATCAAACTTTGGGACTCTTAAGTTTCCTCTTTCTGCTTTGTATTCAAAATGGACAGTGATTAATAAATATTTATGGTGCAAGTATATATTTATGCATGTATATAGCATGGGTGTATGTGTGCTATGTATGGGTAGATGTATACTTTCTTTTGAGAGAAGGCAACAGAATTTCATTTTTAATGTGGGTCACAGTGCTTACAGTAGATAGATTTGTAGATTTGTAGATTTATT